AATTTTTCCTTTATAAAGTAGATTTTTGATGCACATATCCAAAATTCATTTTAATATAAACAACAACATTTGAACACAGGAACTGTGAAAGCTAGGCCACAGTCATCTAGAAAACTCTCACAACTCTTTTAATAAAATAGTGAGAGAAATTATCAATAAAAATTTACAGCGCCAATCTCCTACAGTTACTGCCTAAGTATAAATACAAAGTATGGTGTCAATCATTTTAACATGATTCCTTTTTGGAAGCAGAAAACAAAAACAATGGTAAAAAAAATACTCTCTAAAGGCACCTAAGAAAAGTACTCTTAAAAACCAAAATAAAAACAAAACAAAGTCACTTAAATTTGACTTATTGAAGTTTGTAGCCTCATTGCTTATTATCCAGATACTTGAACTTCTTTAAAAAAAAAAGGCAAAAAGTGTAAGCCAAAACAATACTATCAAAGATTCCTGGTTGATATCACTTCTATTGCTTTGTTAATGTTAGATTGAATGGTGATGTGTTTCAGGGGATTTCACTTGAAGTGTGCACTGGTTGATTCTTTTATCTCATATGCATACTACCAGTGTTTCTTGAATTACCTCATGTCTAATTGCAACACATTCTGTGAAGCAAGTCATGGACTTTCTTATTCTCAATCTAATTCATTTTCTTTTCTAAGGTTGATTTTTTAATAAGGAGTGTGAGTTGGTAATGTGAATTATATTGCTGAGAATGATCATCACATTGATAAAATGATGCTTCTAATTTCACACATTGCCAGTTTTAATGAGAAGGTAAACCGTTTACTTCGTTCTGAGTGTTCCTTTTCCCAGTGTTATTTTGAGATTCACTTACTTTGCCCTTTCATCTCTAGCAAGAGGGGGGGAAAAAGTCAAACTCAAACATGTAGGTTTGTGCAATGCTACCTTTACTTCTGCAGAAGTAATTTAAGTCACCTTATCCTGACTCTACTATTTAATTGGCACTACCCTGTCTGTGAGGGCACTGTGCCATTGTGACAGATGGCCAGGAAAGTAGGTAGCACAGAGACCATGTTGATTTGTCAAATTTGCTTATAGAGGGTGGCATCCATAGTCAGAATGGAAAATGTTGATCTCTGAAAGTTTCTCTGCCTTTTGAAAGAAAATATGTCATTGTTATTGTTATGTTTCAGGATAGAAGTTTATTTGAAAATAAAATAATCCTTGATTATGATCAGACTTTTGAAAACATAAATATTTGAGTTCTTCTTTCTAGTATAATAGTGTACCAAGGAATTATTGGGTTACAATCTGTAACAGAGTTGCTCTACCAAATCCATTCATGAATATGCACTTTCCTCGAGGCCAAAGTGTGTCCTCAATAAATGAAGAAGGTATAAAAATTTGGTTTGGTGGAGATATATTGATTCAGTTTTTCTTTGCTATGTATGGAACTTTACGATTTAGGTGGGGAGGGGGGAAGATGAGGGAGTGGGGAGTGTAGTTGTGGAGGTGGGGAGGGAAGGGAGGGTAGGGAAAAAACAAAGGAGGTAACAATGATTGATAGGAAATGTACACATTACCTTGCTCATGTAACTGTAACTCCTCTGTACAGTATTTTTACAATAAAAAACCTATTTAAAATTTTTGGAAAATAAGTTGATACATTTTTCATCTCTGGTACAAACACAAACACACTGATACATATTTTCTCCACAGTTCATCATTAGCCCTTGGAATTTTTCTTTTTTTGGTAAATTGATATTATTCTATGATAAATATGCCTAAGAATTTTTTTGTAAATGTAGGACTAATTTTGGCTAGATAGGATAATTTTGACATTGAGTCATTATTTTTCAAAGGTCACTACCCTTTAATTTTTTTAAAGAGTATTTTTCACAAAGTTGGAATATTTTCTGAGGTATTGAAAAATAATTATTGGTTAAGATAATGAAAATGTATTATAGACACATATACATGTGTCTATAATAAAACCAAATTTATGTGTTTATTCTATGTGTTTGTGATGGTCCTGGGGTTTGAACTCAAGTCCTAAGGTGCTGTCCCTGAACTTCCTTTGTTCAAGGCTAAAGTATTACTACTTGAGCCACATTTCCACTTCCACCTTTTCTTTGGTAGTTTATTAGAAAAGAGTCTTACAGACTTTCCTGCTTGTGCTGACCCCAAATTACCATCCTTAGGTCTCAGCCTCCTGAGTAGCTAGAATAACATGTGTGAGTCAATGATGCCTTGCTGACCTAATTTTAATTGTGGGATTATGAGGGAAAGAAAGAAGAGAGATAAAGAATAATGGAGGGTGAATAATAAAATACCTTACATTTATGTACACAGTTGACATAAAAAACTCACTGAAAGCTGCTAGATAATAGAGGAGGAACAAGTCATAGAGGGGATTAATTTTAGTAAAATATATGCCTATGAGAAAGAGTATAGGGCAGCCATGGAATAAATTTAATATACACTAAAACTGAATGGTAAATGGAAAACATTTTTAAAAAGAGTTCATACTAGTAATTGATGAAGTCATAAATAGAAAGACGGGATAAAAGCTGAGTAAGACAGAAATATTTTACATACATGGAGAAAAGTAGTAAAATGAAGCCTGTTTTCAGAAGCAGGTAACTTGAGAAAGTGATAGAGGGGGTGATTTTTGTAGAGGTACATTTTCTGCTCCTATGGACATATCTCCATGAAACACCACTAGACAGTTCAACAGATATATACAAATACTTTAGTAAGTAAATGAATGATAAGTAAACAAATATAGACCCGACTTCAGACCCTCACAAATACTATCACAGATACTATTTCCTCAAGAAATATGAAGATCTAGCTATAAATGCAACTACCAGAAGGTAGTAAAGAAAGAAATGATGATGATTATGAGTTGGTGAGTTTTTAGATATTTCACCACAAGGAAAAAAAGTTTTCTCTGAAAATATATAATGAAAAATACAATCAGAAGAATCAGAGGACGTATTTCAGAGTAGGAGAAATATTTGCAAAAACCTTATAGTACTCCTCAAAATAAATGAAAAGGGCTGGGAAGGTGGCTCAGTGGTAGAGCGCTTGCCTTGCATGCCTGAGGCCATGGGATCGATTCCTCAGCACTACATAAGCAAAAAGAAAAAAGCATGAAGTGGCGCTGTGGCTCAAGTTGTAGAGTGCTAGCCTTGAGCTGAAGAGCTGAGGGACAGCACCCAGGCCCAGAGTTCAGGCCCCACGACCAGACCCCCCTCCCCCAAAAAATAAATGAAAACTCTTAATATCCAATAATTAGAAAATAAATAAACTAATTAAGTAAAAAAGTCAAAATAGAGATGTAACTCATGAGATAAATGATAGATATAGATGATAGATGGACAGATGGAAAACAGATAGATAAGAAACAGATGATAGGTAGATGTAGATAGATGATAGATATATTAATAGTTCATGATTACAATAATGAGAACATTAATATATTAACATATGGATAAGTAGATATATAGAGGAAGATATGTAGATAGATAATGGATACAAAGATCCTAGATACATAGATGAGTATATTAGATAAATGTATGCAGATTAGACAAGATGATAGACATACAGATACACAGATGATAAGTAAACAAATAGATGATAGATAGGTATATGGATAGATGTCTGATTGACAGATAGAAGGATAGATGGATAGATATTAGATAACAAACAAAATATAAAACAATAATGCATATAATATGCTGTAAGTGAAATCCTAGTTCAAGCAACAATGTTACCTTTGTCTTTCAGTATGTAAATGGATAAACTACAGTATGTCCAGGTTATGAAATGTTATTCAATATTAAAAAGAAATAGTCTACCAAGGTATGAATATGCATAGAAGTAATGTGAATATAAATCAGTAAATCAAAAAGGTGTCAACCATAAAAGTCTATATAGTTCATTATTATATTAATATGGCAACCTGGTGAAGGCAAATATGTGGGAATAGGAAAAATAGTAATTGTGCCAGAGTGTGGCAGAGTTTTATAGATGTAAAAATCCTCTGTGTTTCTAATGGTAGAGTTATGATATCATAAAGGCATAGCATAGATAACATCTAGAGTGTGCTATAAACTATTGATTTTAGAATAATCTGTGTCTGTAGGCTCTTAAACTATTAACAATCATATTCTTCTGATAGTTTTGGGAATTCTGACAATGGTAAGAGGGCCCTTATGTAAACATATGGGAAATACAAAATATTTTCATTATTTTGCTCTCAATTTTGCTGGGTACTTTAAACTGCTGTGAAAATATTAATAAAAACATCTAAGCCCTATGTTATTGTTTCAATTGCAATTAACATTTTGCAAGTAGTATCATTATTATAGTCTAATAAAATACTTGTTTTATTTATCTGAGTAATATACAACAGAAATAAGTTACTCTCGTTAAAATTGTCCTAAGGTCATCATTTTAACCTAAGCAATTATTCAAGTATTTAATTTTCTTTTCTGATAGAACATATATGTTGCTACTGTTTTTTTTTAATGTATGTTCATAGTCTTTGGGCTAAAAATTTATTAAAGCAATATTTTGAATGATATTTATGTAGGCATTTTTTCTTGAATACACCTCTGTTAGAGCTATATGTGATTTTTACTTTTTGAAATAATAATAAATGTACTAATTAGTTCACAGAATTTTATTGTGAGTTACAAGATGTCAATTAATTCAAATGCAGAACAGACATATACAAATAATGGTAATACATATTGTTCTAAAATAAATATATGATTCTCAATGTATTATAATATTAATATAAATATTGCTCATATACACGGAGTATATTATTTCTTTGGAAATGTTTTCTTAAGAGCAAAAGAAGAAAAATATGGTGAAACTTTAGTTTTCTGAAAGTCTCAGCTGTCAGCAATTCTGAACTTTTTTTTTTTTTCCAGTTTTTTTTCTCTTAAGGGGATACAGACAATGGAGGATGAAGAAAAATACATACTTGTATTGATCGGTCATGTGATTGAACTAATTTTGCATCTAAGAGGAAAATTTAAATGTTCAAAAGAAGGAGGCAATATAAGGGTTGGAATGAGATTTTTCTTTGGTTCCCGGGGAACCGGACCCTAAGTTCTCCAAGGCTAAGTGAGTTCCAAAATTGTTTTTTGTTTTGTTTTGTTTTGTTTTGTTTTGCTCACAGATTCTTTGTAACACACAAAGAATCAAGACTTTAGTGCCAGCTATGTACCCCAAAATGGTTAGGTAACAATTCACATTAGATGTATAAAATTAAACCTAAATCTCTAGGCTCCAGGGCACAATCCATGTATAAAAAGCCCCTTCTTCATAAAACCAGTTTCTGGGCTTTAGTACAGGCTATCCTCACACTAGCCTGGAAACTGAACTGCGCTTCTCTCCTTCCCTTAAAAAGAGTAAATACAGACTTGAGGGGATTTGGCCTCTGTGGGAGATGCCCAGAGACTGCAACAGGTGAAAGGTGGCCCCCAAGGCCCAGCCGGTCTCTATGTTGTTCACTTTTTTTGTGAGCTGTAAGAGAGTGCTGTCTGCAAAGCCAAAGCCACCTTTTAACAAGGCTGTGATGTAGCTGAGATCCATGCATAAGAAAGAACTGACTGACGTAAAGCTTTTCAGGTTGTCACAAACTTCTCTGGCTTTTCTTTCAATATCTTCAACTTTTAAAACACCTCCTTTTTCATAATCAATCATGTGTGTGTCAGCAGCTCGATCATAATAGTAAAAGAAGGCATAGAAGGATTTTCTCTTGATCTCCTCTGGCTGATGAAGTCTGCCTTGCCCCAATCTCAGCAGTTCAGCGTAGCAGGGCTCAAAGCCCATCACCCAGTCTTGGCTGCCACCATACTGGTATTTCACACCCCCAAAAATCCATTCTGCTTTCAACCACCTTGGTAAACAGGCACTTGGAAAGGTATGTCCTTCAATCCCTTCTGTCTCCAGGGCTCCCTGTGTTGCTAGTCTTGCAGTTTTCAATCCAAATCCCAAGTAACTATGTGTATAGAGATTAAAAGTACTGTTAAACATCTCAAAGGAAGTTAAGTAGCCTTGAGGGGTGTGTTCCAGGGTTTTCTCAAAATGGGGCAAGAATGTGATTTGGGTAGAGGCTCCCCCCAAGTCCAGGGTCCCCATGGTCTCCTGGCCATGGCCATGGAGCTGACCTGTTAGGAAATTCACAGTAACCCAGGCTAATATGCCTTGGTAGGATCCATCCAAGATGCTAACACTGTCATCTGGGACCAGGAAGGGTGACTTCTTGAAGATCTCTTCTACCTCAAATAGTAGAGCCTGGGCTTTCTTTTCCAGCAGTAAGCGTAGTCCTGCTGTGGCCTTCAGGACCATTGGTGTCCTTTCCCAGTGACTTCGAGGGATTGAATCTTTGGCCACCTCTAAGAGCCCTTGAACAGTCTCAGCAGCCTGCTTAGGTTGATCTACAAAAGCAGAAAGTCCTGGCTTCACAGAATCAAAAATGTCTCCTTCCAGAATTGGAAGCTGTCCTGGCATTTTCTGCACGAATGTGTAAACATGAATTCAAGTTCCAGTGCTCCCTGCATCAAACATAATTCCATCCAAGGTGCTGGCACTGACATTGATGAGGCACATAGAAGACAGGAAGACACCCTCAAACCATGTCTGCTGGTCTCTGTAGAAGACAGTACTGCAAACACAGGGTATCACCAGCATGAAAATGATAGTGCCCCAGGAAGCAGCCATCTCTTCCCAAGATGCAATGACTCAAGGCTTTGTTGCAGAAGCAATGCTGCTCACACTCCTGTAGTGGCAGAACCATGATGGTCTTGCCTTCATGACGATTCAGCCAAGATACTCCACATTTCTATGTTGGTCAGGAACTATGAAAATGCACGACGTGTTGCCCCTGCGCGGCCACCCGCCAGCCGCCCTTCGGAGTGATCTCTGCTCCACCACCCGCGCGGCGGCGGTGGTGGCCACAATTCTGAACTTTTGAGAAAATAATTTTGTTATTTAATTTGTTCATTTGTTCTGTTAGAAGGAAGTTTTCCTAAGGTTTTAAGATAAACAAAAGTACTCTATGAATTCTCTATAAATACTTATAAGCTTTTAAAAGCTATGTAAATTATCTACTTTTCCTACCATTTTTCTCATAATTACTTGACAACTTTTTTACTCTGAGTAAAAATTTGAATTCAAGAATTTTCAGCTTTTCAAAATTTTTAAATATTTACTTACTATAGGCTTATTTCTTTAACAATATACTGTTAGTTATTTACAAAAATATGTATAATGTAATTTTATTTATTTACTTATTTTTTTATTTTTTGTCGGTCATGGGCTTGAACTCTGGGCCTGGGTACTGTCTCTCAGATCTTCAGCTCAAGATGAGTGCTCTACCCCTGGAGCCACAGCACCACTTATGGTATTCTGAGTGGTTTATTGGAGAGAAGAGTTTCATGGACTTTCCTGCCAGGGCTGTCTTTGAACCGAGATCCTCAAATCTCAGCCTCCTGAGTAGCTAGGATTACAGGCATGAGCCACCGGCACCGGCCTGTATAATGTAATTTTATACCTATGGAATAAAAATATTTTGAAGGCACTGTTTTATATGATTAGGCTAAAAGATGTAGATAGACTGATAGGTTTCATTCAATATTTTGGAAAGACAGACAACCTTAACCAATATCACAGTTTTAGATTCTACTGGAGTTATAAATTTTTGCAAAATGTACCCATCAACCACATTCAATGTACAATATATAGTGGTTATACATATTGTAATTGTGTCTCTGCTTATGAATCCCACAAGTATTGGATTACATTACTTAAACCTCAAAGGAAATTTACTGGCCATATGCATAACAATTCAAAGCTCTCAGAAAAACTGAATGCTCTAGCAGTTGTTTTATTACTGAATGGTGCCAATTGGATCTTTGTAGATAACACAATTGATTAGAATATATTTAAAGTATGCTTTTGCAACACTTATTTTCATAAAGCAGTCTTTACCAGGAATACTTCTTTTTTTCTTTTGTCATTTTCTTATTGGATTGTTCTATAAAAGGTAAATTTGCTTGTTATTGAAATATGGCAACAGCACAAAAAAGAAAGAAAAAATTTATCCTCCAATGTGAGAACAGTATTCTGCAAAATATAGCTGCCTATAAATTAAAATACGGTGAAGGCACATTAAAATACTATTTACTAAGAAATTCCTCATTCCCTCTTGTCTCTAAAGTAACTACTAATTGACATAAGTATGATTTCATGATATTTATGGGCTACTTTCAAAGAATCTTCAGTCTTGTGATTTGAGTTATTGATGGTCAAAAGGGAAAGAGCTTCTATTCCAGTTGTAGGAAATGTTTGAACTTGAAGCTCCTGACTAGAAATTTAAAGGACATTAAGTTTTTCTTCCTTCCTTCCTTCCTTCCTTCCTTCCTTTCTTTCTTTCTTTCTCTCTCTCTTTCTTCCTTTCCTCTTTCTTTCTCTTCCTTTCTTCCTTTCCCCTTTCTTTCTTTTTCTCTCTCTCTCTCTTTCTTTCTTACTTTCTTTCATTCTTTCTTTCTTTCTTTCTCTCTGGCTTTCCTTCTTTCCTTTCTTTCTGGCTTTCCTTCTTTCCTTTCTTTCTTTTTCTCTCTTTCTTCCCTTCCTTCTTTCCTTCCTTCCTTCCTTCCTTCCCTCCTTCCTTCCTTCCTTTCTTCCTTCCTTCCTTCCTTTCTCTCTTTTTTTCTTTTTGTAGTACTGTGGGTCAAAGTTAGTGTCTTGCATTTCTAAGCTGTTGCTACCATAAACCTATGTCTCCAATACTGTTTTTCCACTGGTCATTTTTAGAAAATTTCTCACATTTCTCTTCAAAGAAAATAGCAGTGTATAGAAAGACTTCAACTTATATTCATGCAAAGTCTGTTCACTTGAAGAAATTCTACTTATACGTAGTCAAGCCCTTCCCCAAACTGTGCATACTTGGAGACTATGAAAAGGAAAAGAAAGGCCAGGACATTCTGACTCAGATGGTTACATCCTAATGAGCTAGACACTGGAGATACCAATTAGCAATTGTTTGGACACGGTACTCCCTACAACAATTTTCCTCCCTTCCTAATCACTGATTTTTTTCTCCTTTCTATTCACAGGCACAGATCTCTGAATAAACATCTTTTTTTCCTCTAAGTCTCCTCCAAGGTTCCTCATAGAGAGACTTACATCTGTGACAGATTTAGGATACAAGTCAGTCAAGATTATCTTCAGGAGAGCACAATATATAGATTCTTGAATATAAACTAAGGGGATATATCATGGATTATATTATGGAAGTGTGGCTAAGAAAGAATATGAAGAATAAGAAGCAGCCAGTTTGGACTGGGAGAGGGAATTGAAGAAACACAGATCACAGGTCACTCAAGAAGCCCCATTGAGTGAATCAAAACAGATGAGCAATGTAGTCATGGGAACTGGAGCAAAAATGAGTATAGCTGATGGGAGAAACAGACCAACTTTAAAATATGCAAATAAGGAGAAGTACAGACTGAAGGAGGAGGGAGAAACAAATGAAAAAAATGTGAGCGAATGTAGCCAAAATATTCAATATGTGTACATGAAAATTGAAGTAAAAAGCTTGAGGGGGGGACAGGATGTTACAGATGAAGGGCATAATGGTAAGGGTGATTCTGACAAAGATGAATTTTATACATAAAGCCACACGCTAAATGGAAATCCCTTGGAACAACTATTTGAATAGAAACAATAAAATGTTTCAAAAATACTGAACTGAAGGAATAAGAAAATGATAGGATCAAAGGTTTGAACTAAGAAAATTCCTGAAGAAACACCCCCCCCCCAAAAAAAACCAAGAACAAGCAAAAAGTGACATACAATTATGAGTGACAGGACCAGTGTTGAATTCAATCAGTTTGACTCATTACCCTATGTTTAGATAAACAACACTTGACACATAAATAGGACAAAAAAGATCACTAAAGTCTTCAAAAGTCTTCAATCACTAAAAAGTTATAGGCTTAAAGCATCTTCTGAATTGATATAAATCTGGAAGCAAATTAAAACCCCTCAATAAACCACAAAAAGTCAATTTACTTTATAGTTGTTTTATTGATTAACCGAATGTATGCTACCAGAATATTAACAGCTATGGACACTACTTAAGACAGAAAAATCATTATTTGCTTTTCTCCAGAAGAGATAATTTGTATTTATTCCTACAGGGAATAAAATAAATCATACAAGGTGGAGTTTCTGTCAAAATGATATAAGCATCATCCCCATTTTCCAACTCTCACACAAGCCTTATTCTAGTATGCACAGCTGCTAAATCATTACTCACTGCATGAGGGATAGGTACAGATGCTGCTCCTGATTAATGAGCTATGGCTATATTTATGGTAGTTTCTGGGTGACAAGTGAACAATTATTGATACTGTCAGGAGGAGAGTACTGTTCTCTTATAGTGGGACTCAAGGTCCTAGAAACCGTTTTTCTCTCATATACCTGTGCAAATATGTCCACTTTTTTTCTTGCCCTGCTCATCCTCTTGCTTCCTGTTCTCTCAACCACAACACTGCCCCCTAACACTGCTTATTGTGAAGATATGTTATTCTTTGCATCCTTATCCACATACCATTTCATTGAGTTTTTGGCCTTTCTCATTGTTCAAAACACCAAAGCCAATAGAGTTTTCTTCTGTTAATACATATCCGAGGGATTATTTCTTATTCTTTCTGTTTGATGACTATTAACCATTTATTGGTAAGATATTTTTAGGATTTGGGATTGTGTATGCAATTAACACAACTTGGGGGCCTAGTAGGAATATATGTGTTTGGTGAGGTCATTGTATTTTGCTCCAAGTATATTTTGACTTGAGTAAGTTTGACACTAGGCAATTTGGGATGATTGCTGGAGTCAATATTTTAAAAAAATATTGTAAACGTGATATACAGAGAGGTTACACTAACATGAGACCCTTAAGGAGTATATTTCTGTTTAAACAGTGTTCACAAGTGTTTTTTGTCTTTCTTACTATTGTTTATAATGTATTTATAATGTACCATGTGATTTTTTTTTTGTTTCTTTGTTCGTTCCTCCCCCACCATTATCCTCCCCACCCGTTTTCACTGTATTTGATGTCTGTGTCCTGTGCCCTGCCCCTTCTCTAATTTGGGGAAGGGAAGGGAAGGGAAAAAACAAAGTGCTTACATGGAGATACAGGTTAACCCATTGTAACAATGAGATGTACAAGACACTATGTTGAAAATGAACTTTACTATTTAGGTGAGGGTGGAGTGTAGTAGTGGAGGTGGGAGGGAAGGAGAGTAGGGGAAAAACAGAAGAGGAGGTAACAATAGGAAATGTACTCATTGATAGGAACTGTACTCATTACCTTGCTCACGTAACTGTAAGCCCTCTGTAGAGTATTTTTACAATAAAAAGTATTAAAAAAACAGTGTTAGCCCTTCACTCATTTTTTTCCTCATTTCCCACCCCCACCGCGCAACTCCCTTCCCCTCCAGGTAGTGAAGCTCATTTCCAACATAGTGTCTAATGAGTTTCACGGTTGCATTGGTTTACCCTTTGTTCCTACCCTTCCCCAAATCAGATAAACTTTATAAACAAGACAAAGGGTACAAAGGAGGAGGCTACAATGCTTAATAAGAAATGTACTCATTACCTTGCCCATGTAATTGTAACCCCCCTGTACGGTATTTTCACAATAAAAATAATAAAATAAAAACAGTAACAAAAGGTAATAAACCAAAGGCAGGAAGTAAAGAAAGAGAAAAAGAAATAATTGTAAACAGTACAATTAAAAAAAACTCTTGCTTCCGTTTCTTGAAGTTCCTTTCAATAAACATAATTTTATATGGTCATGTCCACATCACTATTGTTCTCTGCTAAGAACATCCTAGTCATACTCCTGTTTTC